ATGGAGAGAGAGACCACAGAGAAAGGAGCAGCGAATGAAAAAACAGAAAAACTGGGAGAAATGAAGCGGATGTATGCAAAAGAGTTAGGGTTTTTGATTAAATCATGGCCATTGATTTATTTGGATGGAGGGCAAAACCGTGTTAACATATCAAAAAAAAAAATTCTCAATTTCCCCTTCCCTTTTCTACCTCCAGAATATAGGGGGAACGATTTTCCCCCGTTTTTCTCCTCCATTTCCCCTCTCTACCCTCCCAAGAAAACTCCCAAACAAGGTTAAAATAAAATTTCTCTTCCCCTTCCCTTCTCTATCCTCCATCCAAACACAATGTAAGGTTTCGGTACAATATAGTTGATCCTTACTGGCAAATTAGCAGTAGAGCAGAATTAACATCTAAAAAGGTGGATAATTAGTGTTTTACTTTATGAAAGTTTGCGATCAGAGAAAAGGAGCGGATGATTGCAAAGTTGGAGCCATTTCTTTTGAATGACCCTACCATTTTGATGAACACATAACACAGGGAAGAACCCATTTTGTATATCGATTGTTGCTTGAAACTTGCTTATTGGGTTAGGATGCGTGTGTTTTTATTAGTGAAACTTTTGATGGTGCAGTCAATTGTATGAATTTATTTTTGGATTTGTCATTTCATTCGTCTTTTATGAAATATTCAATAAATTATCCTTCCTCTCTGGAGAAAATTCCTTGGCGGGACTATGTCGAAAAATGTACGTGATGATTCTTCATACCAACTGCATTGATTTACCATGCGGCTTTATTTTATAGCCATATGCTATGAAGCACGGACACGCATAACATGAAGCCGTGTCGTGTCGTGTCCGTGTCGGACACACGTGTCAGCCGTGTCGTGTCGTGTCCGTGTCGGACACACGTGTCGAACACACGTATCCTATGTATTTTTTATGATTTGCCTCGTGTCGTGTCGGACACACGTGTCGAACACACGTATCCTATGTATTTTTTATGATTTGCCTCGTGTCGGCGTGTCGAATAGCCGTGTCGGATCCGTGTCCGTGCTACATAGGCCATATGCAGTGGCCCAGTGACAGGTTTATACATAGCACGTATTGCAATAATCGATTTCTTCTACCCTTATGCAGTTAACTTATTTAAGAATATTGGAAACGACTTACTTAGATGATTTTATGTTACCCAGATTTTGGTTGACACGTGATCTGTACATTCCACTTTAAAGACCATCTTTTGTGCGGGTTAACCATTACAGGGATTTATGGACGACTATCATTGGATTCTTGTTGTTTTCATAGCTGAACATAGGTTGAGGTTTATTTACCTGTCATTGATTTACGGATTACGATACACTAACTTGAATTTCCGTTATCTGTCTTGATCGAAGAATTTCTGTACTGTGTTTGAAAGATGAGATATAACCATGTAGGATACAGGTAACAGTGAGAGTTAAAACAAGATCTGACACAATAGTTTGGCATTCTAGTGCTTTGGTCCTATGCATTTGGTTTCACTTTCGGTTTGTGATAGTGTGTGCACCTAAGTAGAAATAGTTTAAAAGCTGAGGTGAACAATCAGATATTGTGCAGGAGCACACAGACTTGAAAATATGTTAGAGTGAATGATGGGTGATAATCCTGTGGTTACTTAATGTATGTCAGTAATGGAGGGGCTTCATTAGTTTATTGAGGCTAACATTGTGCTTAGATCATGATGAATAAAGCATTGGCCTCTTCGTGTTAGATCTATCAAAGATGCATACTTATCGCGTTGCTTTAGTAGGCACTATTCATCTTTCTGTGTTAATCTCAATGATTGCAGACATTTCTAATGCGGACCATGTCATGCCACCAATTTCTTATAATATATTTTTTATGCTAAAGATCCTTTTCTGTGGAAATGGCGCCTTTTTCTTCAAAGCTATTTTTGAAATAAAAGAGATGTATAAGGGTGGCACATGGATACGGTAGGATTTATGGACTTGTATCTGTTACCTATCTACCGTATTTATAGGCTTGTATCCGTTACCTTTACCTTTCTATTCTATATATATAAACTTGTCTTTATGGAGGCTCTAACAGGTGGCGTGCAACTATACTTCATGTGCTAGCATGCGCGATCCTAATGAGTAGATTTAACATCTGTACTAAATCCTACCACTACTTTTGCTTTAGGATCAGGTTGCTGCAGTTATTTGCTTCTCCGCTCATTCTTCCCTCTCTTGTCCGAAGCGAGTTTTGATCTAAAAATTAGCTCTACTGTCTCTCCATATTTTTGCTTGAGGAGCAGTACACAAACCCTTAGTTAATTCTCGGGTCAATCAACTCTCTTCTCAGATAAAAAATATGGTGCAATTCATTGTGATACTGTTGTTAGGTGCTAACATAAACTTGAATAGTTGCAATCATCTGTTTGCTCATATTGTCAGATGAACAATGTAAGGTGATCATCTCTCTCGCTCCTCTTTGTAGTATGCATGATTTATATGACATTTTTCTCAAACTAGTTTTGGCTCTATTTAGTATCTTTGCCTTTTTCGACCTTTTTTCTCCTTGTTCTTTTCTTTTTGAGTTCTATGGTCTAGAACAACTATTTGCATAGGGTTCTAGATGAAAGTATTGAGTTTAAATTTGTTTTGGCCTGACATTATGTACAGGATCCATCAATAAAAGACTTGGCAGAGCAGATAGCAAAGGATCCTGTGTTTAACCAGATGGCAGAGCAGCTTCAGAAAAGTGTTCAAAGTGTGGGGCCGGATGGGGTCCCTCCAGTGGACACCCAACAATATATTTCTACCATGCAAAAGGTCATGCAAAACCCTCAGTTCATGACAATGGCAGAACGACTTGGAAGTGCTCTGATGCAGGTAGTATTTTTATTGTGATATGCACAATCTTTGAAATGTTAATATGAGGATGATGGTTTTTTTAACTAATGCAGTTATTGTACTTGTGAGGATTGTGTTATGGCTAATGTGCTTGAAATATTTTACTAATCAAACTCATTGTTAACTTGTAGGATTCTTCTATGGCTAGTATGCTTGAGAGTTTTGCTAATCCACCTCATAAAGAACAGATCGAAGAAAGGATGGCACGCATGAAGGAAGATCCATCTCTGAAGCCAATTCTTGATGAAATAGAGACTGGAGGTCTTCCTGCAATGATGAAGTAACAGATGATAATGTATTATTGATTTCTATGTCATAGGTGCATCTTTATCTTATATTTCTTTATTAATTTGTCTTAGGTATTGGAATGACCCTGAAGTTCTTCAAAAGCTAGGCCAAGCAATGGGGATGCCCACATCAGGTGAGGCTGCATCATCAACAGAACTTTCTGGACCTGAAGAAGGAGAAGAGGAAGCAGGATATGAGGATGAGTCAGTTGTTCATCACACTACTAGTGTTGGAGATGTTGAGGTATGAGTATTCTCTAACTAGTATGCATGTACCAAGTTTAGTTGTCTTTAGGATACACTTTGATTTATTCCATGGGGCGTATGAAAGATGAATTCTACACTGGACATAAAGAGAACTCTATTTCTGTCTTATTGCAACTGTTTTTTTCTCTTTTTTCTATGGCACATAGCTCAATAGAAAGTACCCAGTATAGATAGGCAGAATCTCATCCATGCTATTGTGACGAGTCTCCCCACCTATTTCACTCCACAAGATAAGCGTGCGTGTGTCAGTCTATGTGTGTAGGCATGATAAGTCTGCATGTCTCTGTCTATTTATCCATGCATGCATGTGTGTATGGCTTTTGGATGTACTAGGTTTTATATACGTGCAATGCACGTGGTTAAATACCATGATTAAGTATTTTTAGATTATTTTCGAACTAAAATTTGTTCCTCAGTTCCACTTTAATAGTTTATGCTCACTTTTGTCTCTAAACTTTAATATTGTGATTATTTATTTTAATTGATGTTTGTTTAAATGGGCTACACCTAATTTAAATTTTCATGTTGATATTTGAATTGATAGAAAGTAAATATAATTTGAATCTAATTTAAATTTTCATATTATTTTGACTGACATGATACCAAGTTTTACTTGAGAAAATACAGTGTTACAAAAGTAAAAAATATTAAAATAATATTATACAATGAAGGTGAATATTTAAAACCAATAAGGCAAAATGATTGGTTAAAAGTATACTAAAACAATACAAAAGAGAATATGAAGTTTGTTCCTAATCATTGATAGACTTCATAAGAAATTATAAATTAAAGATAAAAGAGAATATGAAGTTTGTTCCTAATCATTGATAGACTTCATAAGAAATTATAAATTAAAGATTAATGCTAACTCTAGTATACTTTCATATGATAAAAGCATCTGCACAAGCCCTCATGAAACTCCCTTCTAAAGATTTCTAAATTCACTCAAAATAATTAAACTATTCTATAAAATATTTAAAAAATATTATCTTTTATTCTTTCTATTTTTTTTATAATCTAAAATCAATCCTTCCTCATTTTTATCTTTTTCCCGGTCAATTCTAGAGTAGTGTCTTCATCATCTACTCGATTGTGACATCAGTTTAGACCTGTATTTTTTGTGCTCTTATCTTTCTTGGGCTCGTTAATCTTTTATCTGGTCGTTTAACTTCACAAAGAAGTTAAATGTATTTCTGATGTTCAATTCAAACTTCTTAAAATACATACTTTGATTTTTTTTATTTCAATGAGAATAAATATTAATCTCATATATATGAAATTCTTTGTGTTTCTAATTTATTACTTAATAAGATTAAGAGTTATCTCTTTTTGCTCTACAACGAATTCCTCCGATATACATCCAATAAGAATTTTTATTACGTCAATAATATTACATTTGCTCTATTCTTGTTATTTTTCACAAAGATTTAAACTAAATACTTGCATTTGTATTGCTAATTTGCCTTAGATTATAATCTTAATATTTAATTTCTTTAGTATTTGAAGAGCAAAGTATGAAATTTATGAATGCTTACTAATGTTTCTTATATCTTCTATAGACAACTCTTCTTTGATTGGGATAAAATTATTAAATTATTCTTTAATGTAACTCAATTGGTGCTTCTTTAATAGACATGTCTTATGTTAATGCCAATTCAAATGATTCATGGATGTTTTTTGAATTGTAGATTTATTTTCGTCACTTTCCCATTTGTAATGGAAATAGGTTGATTCTTTTGAAGGATATCTCTGAACATTCTAATAGTATCTCCATACCTAATTCATTGTATTCTTTTACTCTATAAATATTATTAATATCAGATATTAATGTTTCGAAATTTTAATCAATTAATGCCAAGCTATTATATTATAGTCTTTTATCATTTTTATGGATTTAAACATCTATCAATTAATGTTACTAATATGTTTTGCTGCTCTAACTTATTAGTAAACTTTTATGCAGTTGCTTTAATTTATATGGTAATGATAATTTTTAAAATTTTTATTCCCTAATCTGACATTTTTAATCAATTCTTATTGCTTTTGTTTACCACTATCAATTTAGACTATCTTTAGATGTTGAAAAGGGATAGTAAACCCTAAATTGGAAATTATATATATATATAGTAATGAAAGAATACCTAACAACTACACTTTTCTTTGCCAAAATTTAAAATTTTAGCCTTTTTCATGGTTTGAAACTTTGAGGGTGTGATTTGTAATTTTTAAAACTTTAGGAGCATTTTTTAAAAATTATTTTTAAGTTTGGCAGTTGTAACTTCTATGTTTCATGTATCGGTGATAATTTTTAAATGTCACGATATTTCTTACAACTCTAAAATTTTGAGAATGCTTTTTACAATTGTTAAAACTGTAGATTAATTTTTTAAAAATTTAAATTTCAGTGGTCTACCAATAGTTTTTAGATTTGATGTGTAGTGGTTATAAATTTTAAAAATTTAGAGCTTTTTATGATTTTTAAATTTTGAAAGTGTTTTTTCTATAATTTTTGTAACTTTGAGGTTAATTTCAGCAAATTTTAAATTTTTAGGTGCATGAGTGTAATCTCTTTAATTCATATTTTGTTATTTGTAAATTTTAAAATTTTTAAATTTTCGGGGTTGTTTTTTATAATTTAAACTTTTAAGTGTGTTTCTATAATTTTTGGGACATTGAGGGTGTTAATTAAAAATTTTTAAATTCTTGGGAGGTTGCTATTAATTTCTTGATTTCATGTTTGTTGTTTTAAGTTTTGAAAAGTCAGAAATTTTTAGGTGCGTTATGTTAATCCCTTGAATTCATCTATGTTGTTTGTAAGTTTTGAAATTTTAGAATTTCAGGTGCTTGTTTGTAATTTGAACTTTTGAGAGTGTTTCTATAATTTTTGAGATATTGAGATGTTAACTACAAATTTTAAATTCTTCACAAATTGTTGTTTATTTCTTGATTTCATGTTTGTTGTTTTAAGTTTTTAGACGTCAGGATAGTTTTTATAATTTTAAACTTTTTAGGGTATTTTGTGCAATTTTAAAACTTTTTAGGTTTTTTTAATACTTTATGTATTATAGTACGTTAGCTACGTATAATTTCTTTATCTTAACAAACTAATACAATGAAGATGTTTTATATATTTTATTAATATTATTTTTTAAATTGTTAAGCTATAAATACCTCACATAGGATTAGGATAGGATATAATTATGATTAGGATAGATTAAGATTTAAATGAAATATTTAAAATAGTGAAGGGCGATATTGACCATAGAAAGATTTTTTCGAACTCATACTTTTAAAGGGAGTATGATGTTTGAATTGTTTTATAGCTTCTTTCATTGTAATAAGAATCATAATCTTTTTGGTATGACAATTTGACAGGATGTCTTAATTTGGTTATACTCGAGATCATCATTAGGCAGTTTGTGGCTTTAATTTTCAGCAGAGCATGTATTAGTTAGGATAGAGGTGAGCCAAATTAAAATAGAGATGAGCCCAATCAGGGTAGAGATGAGCCCAACCCAGTTCATTATGTGATCATGATCGGCTAAGATTAACCTCGCAGCCAAACCCTTTCAAGATTCATGGTTAACCATTATCTTCCTATATTTCTAAAATTTCTGTGTATGTAATTTCCCAGACTCGGCTTACATGCATGTCCATGTTGTTTCTAATCATCAGTAGTGTTAAATAGGTCATAATATTGTCAGAATGCTAAATGCCATCACATCCACTCCCCTCCTGCATAAGTACACATCCATCCACCGTGATATTATTGCCAGCTGCGTCTGTGAACACATTGTAGCATCTTTTGGAAATCATCAACTTCCTGAAATTTAACTTTTGATATCATGTGATGATTTGATGTTGAGGGAGTTGACACATCCTTTTATGTTTAACCAGTTCAATTTATTCATTATTTATTGGTAAGCACCACGTTGGCATTATGTTTGTTCATTGAAAAATTCAACAGAAAGCTTTTTGTATTTATTCTAAATTTGCATAGTAGGATTTTAGTTTGCAGTTTCTGCCAGCAGATATGATCTCTAAACAAGATAAGCTCAATATAAGTTTGGACCAGACTGCTTTTCAGTATATGGGGTGCTTATGATCTATTTTTTGCAAATGACTTTCACATCCACGTCAACATACAAGTGAAATACAATGTTTCTTTGAGAAACCAAATTATTGTTGAAAGTATGATGTGAAGATGATGTGACAAATTAGAATTTATTAATAAATATAGTTAAAGTCATTTAATTGAAAGTGGTCTTCATTTCTTTTCACTTTTCATGTGACCTCAACATTTTTTAGCAGAAGTCAAAATTGCATTAAATTCCTGGCAACTTTCTTACATTTAACTTTCACAACAACTTGAATTCAAACAAACACCTAAGTGTTGGAAGCGAGTCACTTTTACACTGTTATTTTTCTCTTGCATGCGAACAAACACCCCCAAGAAATATGTTTGGTACTCGCAATCTATTATTTTGCGTCTAAGTAGTGCTACTAATATCCTCTAAACTACTTGGTACTCCCAAATCTGCATGTTTTATGCTCTCACATCTGTGGGATACATGCTATCGTATCTGGCTGATGGTAGATTGTAATGTTGCTTATGTTTCAAACAGGGCTTAAAAAGTGCCCTTGCTGCTGGAGCTGACAAGGATGAAGAAGACTCTGAAGGAAGAAGAGCTTTGCATTTTGCATGTGGCTATGGGGAGGTATGAGAAGTTTATTTTCAATTTCTTCTTGAGAACTAGTAGTCATGCTTCAACTTCGAGCTTATGACTGTTTGATATACACATGTGTATGGAAATGTGAGTATAAGCAACGAATATATCTCCGTAGTATTGTCTTTGTACAGAGTGGTGCAAGTTTTTGCTACATTATGATATTTGATTACCCATACGTCAAACTTTTGAGATGGTGAAGAAGGGTTTGAGTTGTGACGACTTTTGGTACCCAATACCTAACCTCTTCACATACTTTTGTATCTGGGTTCAATTTCAAAGCAAGTTGTCACATCTGCAATTCCATGAAATTACCTTATTAGGCTTTAGCTTGTTCCATGTCCACTTCACGGTTTTTGTTGACATGTTTTCACTAGAATTTTGCCACTGTCACTTATTCAGATGACAGTAATAACACTGGTATAAAACCACTTACTGAGAATAACTATACCTACTATATGCATGTAGATAATTAGATATGCATGTTATCAACTTGATATGTTTCTCTGAATGTAAGTGATTTGGTTATCTGCATATCTCTGTAGTTTTATCTATTGTCTAAACTGTACCACAATTTTATGGATGTTGAAGGAACGGGCAAGGTTTTAAATATCGGATATTGAGATAATATCGAACGGCCAAAATCCATATCAGATTGTGGTTATCCGATAAATCTAGGGGATATGTAATAAATATCGAGTGCCATATCGAATGATTTGCATATATAATATAATATCGTAAAATATGATCTAAACATACTTAATAAAATATAAGCATACAGAAGTGTAAATAATATATGTTTAAAATCACTAACCAATTGTAAAAACTTAGGGAAAAGAGCCTACTTGAATTTGCTAAAAAGTTTCACATGACTGAAATTTTTGCTTAAAGAAGTCACAGAAATTTTGCAAAACTATATTGTATTGCGACAACGACAAGCCATATAAAAGGACATTGTCCAACATATCGGCTGGCATAGCGGCTATGTCGGGAGATATCGCCCAAAAATTACTAAAAAAAGCGGTGTAGGATATTGAGATCATATCATTTTGCGAAAAACCTTATAGAAGGATATATCGGCTATATCAGGGATATTTGTAACAGTGGAACTGGGTATATCCAACAAAAAAGGATACAGGAGACCTTAACAAGACTATATGATTGAAATGGATTTCCAAGTGTGTATTTTACTTTCATTGAAGGGAGATCATGACTCCCATGGGTTTTTCTTCCATTAAAAATATTGTTTCTTCTTGTCAGGTGAAATGTGCTCAAGTCCTCTTGGAGGCTGGAGCTTCTGTTGATGCGCTGGATAAGAACAAAAACACTGCTCTTCACTATGCTGCAGGTTATGGGCACAAGGAATGCGTAGCTCTTCTATTAGAGAATGGTGCAGCAGTGTGAGTCATCAACTTCTCTTTGTATTAACCTTGCTAAGCTTTCACCTCTATGATGGTTACATTCAAGTTATTGTGTTGCAGCACTCTGCAAAACTTGGATGGGAAGACTCCTATTGATGTTGCCAAGCTCAACAACCAGGATGAGGTTCTCAAGCTGCTCGAGAAGGATGCGTTCTTGTAATCTACATTGCAATAGTATTTGAAAGAGAGGGTGAATCATGTTTTGCCATGTATGCTATGCTTCTGATGCTTTTGAGCTCTTCGTCTTGGGCGTCTAAGACGGAGAACATGAGTTGCTAGTTGTACTTTTTCAGGTTCACGCTAGTCTTTTCTGAGAGTGAAAAAGTTTCAGATGTTTGTATGGATCATTTGATTGCTTCTAATTCGTTCCCCAGTTATTGGGTTGTCTTGTAATAATGATTCTGTAATAGCAGTGGTAATTGTAATATGTTAAGTTGATTATGTTATGTTTGGTGTTTAGAAAGTTTTTGATGCAGCAATACCTTACCTGGTATTTGAAAAAAAAATTATTGTTTTGCTTTCTACGTATTAGGATGGATGGCATATGTACCAGTTATTGGAGCACTCTATGATAATGTTTTCGCGGATTGGGATCCTCTATTAATGGATCCTCTACTAATATCTACTAATAAAGAGATCTTAGCCTTTGATTTATCAATCAAAGGCCAAGATCTTATCCTTATCCTCCCTCTACTTTTGCTCATGAGGAGATCTTGGCCTTTGATTGATAAATCAAAGGCCAAAATTTCATTAGAAGATATTAGAAAGCTCCTCATTAGTAGAGGATTCCAATCCTGTTTTCGCATGTATTGTATTATGATCAGGGTTGATCCTAAGATTTTCTATAATTGGCTCCTATTTCTCTATCATTAAAGTATCACTTGGCATCGCTAAACTGGTCACCGGAAGCATGACTGAAGCGGGCGGAGAACTAATTGTAGATTTAGGCTAGAATCGTATGGCATCAAGCAGGAACTGTCACCTATTTGCAAAAGAAGAGTGAAAATGAGCTTTGTGTTGTTCTATGGTCTTTGATTAGGTGCGACAAAAAATTAAAAAAAGAAAAAAAAACGTTATGTAGCTACACTATGCTTTTGACTTTGTTTCAAAGAATCATCTATTAATTGCAGGAGGCATCTTCTTTATACAGTTCTACATAGTATCCAAAAAGAGCCATAATTTGGTCATCATGCAATTACTCAAGAAACGCAGTGCAGCTATCTCCACTGGTCTCGATCTCTCACGTCGATGGATATTTTCTCCTGTATTCTGCCAAAAATCTTGCGAAGATGTATCTTTTAAGGCAGAGAAAGAGCACAAGGCACATAAGTTGCAGGAGAGGCGTACGACCTCTCTAGGAATTGCTTCTGCTTATCATCCGCTAAACAAAGAACCGATTCCATACAAACCTCTTGAGCATTTGGTGGAGGGGCTGGCTTGAAGTCCTGCAATTTGGAGTACTCCACAATAAGGTGATACATATAATCATAAACTCGATCCATGTCCAGTTTGGATCGACGATGTTTAACGAAACAAAATCTAAAGGAGATACTTATGGTGCAAGCTTTGACTGAACTACACAAAAACACTTGTTTCACTATCAAACTAGAACTTTATTGTTCGTAGAAACTTTAGAATTCACTTCTCCAACTAAAACTATATGATCCACTAATTTAACGGGTGACCCATACCATTTATCTTGATTCATATGTCATGATATGTTAAGCCATCCATCCGATGGAACCTCTCATATTTTGCGATAGTTAGATGAATGGTTTAGACAAATGTTTAGATTTGTTGATATATTCGTAGTGAATCGGATTGGTATGAATCACAGATTAGCGTATCCTATGTAATTCGGATTGACATGAGGTTTACTGTGAAATTTTCATAAAAAAGAAATTGTTAAGAGTATAGGAAAGAGTCAAAAGGATATTACCTCGGATGGATGTTGGTTACCCCAATCAACTGTATCTTTAATATTTTGACATAGGTTGTCGGCACTTATAGGCCAGTAGTTCTCTTTGGGAACAAGACCACGAAGAAGTCTTCCTGATTTGTGAATCTATAATCAGGGAAAGAGACCCACAAGCAAGAATATAGGCTCACTGACCAAGCAAAACCTTCAGCGTAGATCTTGTAGCTGCAAATGATGCAAAAGGATCATTGGTGACTTGAAACAAAAAACATAAACAAAAGTTTATTTCTGCACAGACCTGTACTCACTGTTTTCAAAATATTGCCCCTGTAGTTTCATCGTTGCAGATATATAGAACCCCCCAACACCCCCCCACCCCCCTCCAACAAAAAAAACCAGACCCCCGTAGTAAATGTTTTCAAAATGCTGCCCCTGTAGTTTCATCGTTGCAGGAAAAACAAAACAAAAAAAAAAACAACAACCAGCCCAACCGGGGTTAAATGTTTTTGACCCTTTCACCCTCAGGCTCACTAAGTTCACCCACAGGCCTGTCAAATTTTCACGAAGGACGAAACTACAGGGGCACTAACTGCAAAAACAGTGATGTTAGGAGGGGTCTACATGCAATGAAATTCATGCACTCAGGCCACAGTCGAAGCTGTCTTACCGATGATCACATTGGTTCCCGAGTTCTGATTTCTTAAAACCTGCTCGTGCTTCTTCACCCCAGTCCTGCAACGCAAGAAAATATATGCAGTCCTTTCAAATAAGGATCTAAGTTTATATTGTGCCGCAAATAAGCAAGTTGCTGGGACATAAATCCAGGCCTGTGTATTACCTGGCGCATAATTTGGGCGCCCCACATCTTCGTGTCGTTACAAGTTAACAAAGTTCCTCGTATCGGAGCAGTATAGGGATTTCCTTTCCAATAAGCTGTGGCCTCCTTCTGCTTCCATGTCATGGATTGAGAACCAAGCTTGATACTTTTGAACTCTTCTTCCCAAGATTTTATGTTTATCTCAGGCCTACGTAAGCAACATGCTACTTAAGAGGCAATTTAGAAAGGGGTTAATCGCGGACACATCCCTTGTGTTGTCGCGGTTTTGAGCTAACTTCCCATCTAATTTTATGGTTGCATGCAGATCGATCCGCGAGTGAAAACTTTTTGACTCTTTTACCCTTAGAGAGATCATTAATTTATTTAGTAACAAATAGACCTCTAGAGGGTAAAGGAATGAACAATTTTTCAAAACCGACTGAAATTTTTTTTTTTTTTTCAAAACCGACTGTTTTTTTTTTTTTTTCAAAATCGACCCGGTTTTGTGATTAGCAGGCTAATCACTATCCTAAATAGTCGGGGTTGGCAACCCCGACTATTTAGGATAGTGATTAACCTGCTAATCACCCTTTAATTAGGGTTTAACACCCTCCTAAATAGTCGGGGTTGCCAACCCCGACTATTTAGGATAGTGATTAGCAGCCTAATCACAAAACCGGGTCGATTTTGATAAATAAAAAAAAAACAGTCGGTTTTGAAAAAAAAAAAAAAATCAGTCCGTTTTGAAAAATTGTTCTAAAGGAATCGATAGTTTTCCCGAAAGGGTCTATCTGTGACAATAAAACTAGATGTGTAAGTTAGTTCAAAAAATAGATGCTACAAAGGGGTCTGTCTGCAATTAACGCTTAAAAAATGTCAGAAAACGTAGTCAATGTATGAAGCTTTATTGTTAGACCAGTTAAAAAGGAAGCATTAAAAAAAATTATTGGTGGATGAGTTTGTGTAAAACAGTTCAATATTAAAGTTCCTCTTCATTCTTTTATCTACCGATCGATTGCAGCAGAGTCTAATTCTCCGAAATAGAGGAAGCAAGTTCTATTTTCATCCAAACAGGGTTAGTGTCACTGAAAGTTTTATAAGTAAGTAAATCATATTCTTTCATTCAAGTTTCTTATGAATCATCTCCCTTTCTGAATTGCTTCCGAGTAAGTTATTTATGTCTTACTTTTGGTCCTATCCGACACATTTAGTGATCTTCATTGTACATGATCGAATCAATAAGAACGACGGTCGGCTAAAACTGGATCGATTTGATAATAATAAAAAAAAGTTACGAAACTTCACGAAGTCCCGTGAAGTTTTGTTATGTACAAAACACCACCTTACTTTCATAAATAACAATGCGCTTAAACTTAACAGGACTTCAAGTCCCGTGAAGTTTCGTAAATTATTTCGCCAAAATCGACCCAGAAACTAGATCGATTTTTTGACAATTAAATTCGAAACGGGTCGATTTTTGCAATTAAGTTTCTAAAATGGCTTGGCTTTGACGTACCACCCCCAAAAGGACCAATCCGGGAACGGGATATCGAGATGCTCCTTGGTGGTGCAATACCTAAACAGCGGCGGCGCGGGCGGCAGGGCCCCGCGGATCCCCGCTGCTGCCATTCGCTAACTGCCCCCTCTCGATTCATGGGGCCCGGTGCCATACAAGCGAAATCATGTCCACGTCGCACCCATCCCGCGGTCCTCCTCAGAGTCTAGCAAGCAGCCCCCACAGCGTGAAATCGCCCTGGGGCGCGCACGCGTAGTAGAGGGTACGACGTACGAACTTCTGCCCCCCACGATCACGACTCCTCATTCGCGCGTGCCGCGGGCGCCTGTCGAGCGTTTGCGCGAGATGCGAGGGGCCTCAGCGGGCTGGAGGTCGCGGTGGTGTAAGCCGGCAGAAGGGGAGGCAGGAGCGGCGGTTCTTGGCGGGCGGGCGAGGTCGGGAGGGGCGGCGGAGGAGGGAGGCGGAGGCAGGAGACGCTAGGGGAGCAGCAGGATGGTGGATGGGTGTGGGTGCGTTGACGGCGTCCACTGTTGAAGGGTGTGGCCAAGGGTGCGGTTCCGGTTGTGGCCCTATGATCTAATTTTTAAAAATCTTTTTTTCTCTTTAATTCCCTATCCCATTTTCTCTTACGGATTTTGGTAGTCCTCGTTCGCGATGCTACGTTCCCGCCGCCTGCAACAGAAAGTTACGTGCACCAAACGCACGCAGAGACGCTGAGCAAGGGTAAGAATAAAAATAAAAAAATAGTATATATATATATATAATATTATAATTATATATATATATATAATATATATTAGTTTTATTATGTTAAAATATATAAATATAACCCGATTCCGCATCACATTCGGTTTTTAAATGCTTTCCAGAGCGGATTAAAATAAGAAGATAACGCTCCATAAATCCTGATTTCGGCCACGATAAAATAGAAGAAGTAAATATTACACTCAAATTGTACTTCCAATGATTTGTTAACGACATAAAAGAAATTTATAGAAAAAGAGGGGTGGGGTAGTGACAATCTCATCCAAAAAAAGCATTTAAAAATATCAACGCGATTCCTGAAAAAGGAAAAAAAAAAGAAGGAAAGGGAAAGAAAAAAAAACCATCAAATATGCTGCTTTTAATGCGTTCTTTCAGCTCGACGAAAAATTGCAATAGCATTTCCAGCAACAAAAATATCCACAAGTTCAAACAGAGTTTAAATTAAAGTAGAGTCCCCTTTAGATTGCAAAAAGTTCTCGGAGAAAGCTTAAATATGAAATAATTAACAAATCGAAAAAACAGGAGCCCTTTGATAATCGGCTGCTGCATTAATTAATAAAGTCGGACAGGAGCTCCTGTAATCGATCAGCCAATCAGAGATTAACCCATAAAATAATAATAATAATAATAATAATAATAATATCACTATTATTACGAATTATTAAGTAAGTAAAATAGCACTAACCGTATAAAGGGAGTAGGCAGCGATGAGGACAGCCGCAGAGAAGAGGAGGAGGAGGACGGCGAGGGGGAAGCGGCGGAGCCAGAGGAGGAAGCTGGAGGAAGCCATTCAAGCGTTAATCTTTGCATTTGATTACTTGGGGTCTCATTGTCAATTTATTTATTTCAAATGGTAGAGGAGAATTAATAATTAAATTGATTTGGTAGTAAATTGAATTGAATCGTCGTGAGGATCGTCTCTCTGTTTCCCCCTTTTCTTTTTTTTCTTTTTTTTTGTTCTTGAGAGAGAGAAAATGACACATGAGTTTGTCGTGTGGGAACGGTAGCTCAGTGACCGCGTGGC